ATGAATGATCAACAAATTTTGCTAATTGAAAGCTGAAAATCAGCTAAAAATCATAAGCATCGCAACTTTCCAAGACTAAATTGCTAAAGAAAGTCCAGAAACTTGCTAGACTGTTTGTACTTTTCCTTTTTCTGGACATGAAACAAGAGGTTTTGTTACAAAGTTGTTTTATGCTATAAGTAGGGTCAACGATAGGCAGACACTCATTGCTTTCTAAGAACAAAACATATTTTGCACGTCGACAACACAGATACCAAGCAAACCATTGAGTAATGAGATTTCAATCAAGCAATCAGCCGCGCAATATATCATCGGTAAATCTGTTATTTTTTTATCTACAAAGACGTAGGAAAAATATGGACTGGACTGATGGACAGTTGGACCATTGGACAATCCTTCAGGACCTTTCTATGGACCATTTTTTGGACTGTCTATTATTAGGGAGGTGTAATGATAAATGCTTCTAGTCGGAAGAAAGTTTGTGGGATCATACAAATTATTTGGAGCGTTTTCTTTTTTTTTTTTTTTTTTTTTTTTTCTTTTTTTTTTTTTTTTTTTTTTTTTTTTTTTTTTTTTTTTTTTAAATTAAATTTTTTAAAAAAATGTTTAGGGAGGGCTGGGCGGGTATAGTTTTTTATTTTATTGTCAGGAAAATACGAACAGGGATCGAAATGCCAGCGGGAACATTAATTTCCGAAAAGAGAATCGTGTGGGAAACTCCATGAATCGGTCAGTTCACTACTTTTGTGGATTGAATGAATCAATATGTGGCTATTTGAAAGAAGAATTGCGCCATAAAGCCATAAAATGCAGAGTTATTCAAAAATGTGTTGAATGCTCCAAAAAGATGATCGAAAAATTGGTCCGAAAAATAGTCCAAAAAATGATCTAGTAGTCCAAGGGTCCCATGGTCCAATGTTCCAGACATCGTTTTATCCTGTGCTATCCACTAAGCGTTTAGTGGCAAAGTCAATACTCGTACCAATATTTTACATAATAGACATAGTATTAAGCTAAGCTGTAAGTAAAAAAGGTTTCAAGTTAAGCTCGCGAATCACGTTTTGAAATCTGCATGTTCAGAAAGCCGCTATATAAACTATTTACACCCAGTAAAAAAAACTTAAAAACACAACAGCAAAAAAGAGAAATTTACGAAAGTGCAGAAAAACCATAAATGTCTGCTCCCATGAATTTTTACGCGATTAGCTCAGGTCGAAAATTATAACCTCGTACAACCTCGATATTACACAGGAAAGACAGTTAAATCGTAGACTCTATGAAAAGGTTGGGATAGGTTTGAATATCCTCCCACAATGCAAACCTTGTCAAATAATGCCACACCAACAAACGAAAACAAGACAGAAATCAAAAGAAAAAACAAAACTAAAACAGGAACAATTATATTAAAGCAAATTAATATGTGAAAATTACCCCTTTTTTTTCCTTATCATCACTTAGTTTAAATATTCTTGACAAAAATGGTATTGTGCCTCACACGACAAGCGTTACCGGGTCGGAGATTGCTTATAGTAGGCAGACCCGCCTTCCCCCGGCTCTTTTCTTCCGAAAGGTGCATGGAGTCTGCTAAATTTCTGAGCCGTACATGTATATGTACGTGACTCACAGACTTGATAATGATTATTGTACTTAACCAGGTCGAGAGGGGGCATTATAGAACGGTTTAGGATTTCCACGCAATTCCCACGCAATATTTTCTGGTAAAAATGCTGTTTGTATATATACAGCCTGCTTAATTGAAAAATTCAATATCATTTTCCGTGATATTTCTGGGTCCGGTTAGGTACTGAAGAACATCGCGTGTTTCCTTGAAAATCTTATGTTTATCACGATATTGACAAGCATCATATACTTATACCATTGACCCCAGCTATCTGACAATTTTTTTTGTTTTTAAATACAGTGACCTTTATTTACAGGGTTCACGTGTATTCCTGCGTTTTTTATTCATTTTTATTTTTTATAAAATCCTTAAAATCAAGTTTTAACTGTGCTTAGATGTTTTTAAAGTATCTATTTGGTGGTTGTCATGTGTAAGAGGGTGGGTTTAAGGTAAGAAACTTGTTGGCACAAAAATGGAATTTTTCCAATTTTGTATACCTTTAGAGTGAATGTCGGAAGGACATTGACGTCACAAGCAACAATATAGTTGATTGATTGAGTAAGATTCAACTGTTAATCACTGTCAGTGTTAAGAAACTCCAGGTGGTGAGAACTCTGTTTACTTACTCAGCTCCTTGAAAGAGAAAAAAAACTCGCCAGAAGAGAGCTAACTCTGCTTTTTATCTTCCCACCGAACATTTTTCAAAAGAGCTGTTATGAGGCTGACCCATAAATGTGTTTTTCTTAAAGTCTGAAGAGCTATTGTCACGTTAACGATGACCGGCGGAAGCTGATAAAGAAAACGTCCCGTAAAGCTTTAATATAACCGGGTTGTATTTCCTGTTTTCATGTGATAAATTGATCCTTACACTATATCATAATTTGATTATTTTCAAAGACCAAACATATTTCACGAAAACTTAAACGACTACACATTGCAACGCAGAGGTTTTCTAAGACGTGATGGCGGAGGGACCGAGAACAGCACACATACCCACCTCTCGTGATTTATACAGGTGTCCAATTTTCAGGCAATACTCAACACAAGAATGGATTTTAGAGTACTGCCTAATGGTTATAACTGTGGGGTTTTTCATCCTGATTTCGCTATTGTTCAAGCTGTCGAAGCAATACCTGAGCACGTCAACAAATAAATTGGACTCTTCCTTTTTCCAGTCAAACTAAACGAGGAAGAAACGAAAAGTCAAGTGGTTCTCGTCAAAATGCAAAAAAGATTGCAAACTGAAGAACAGTTTCCACAAAATTAATTTCGACTCAACTTGAACTTTGGAAACGTTTTGTAACAAGAGAAGAATGCAAGATGGGCAGAGGGTCGCGCAGTGAGCTAGAAGAACGCTGATTTGATGGGTCACATACATTGAATGGCTTTAACAACCTGCAAATGAGTCGGACGGCTGTGAAAAACATTGAACCTTGTTATGGATGTCCAGAGTACCGGTTAATTTTCAAGTTTTCTTGCACTCTCTTCTGTTGGTTAGTCATCAACAGAGACGGACGGCAGTGAAAAGCAGGAACCCTTTTTAGTGGATAATTAAAAGTACAAGCTTATTTTAAAGTTTTCTGTCCTTTTTTTGTGAGTAGTCATTACAAATTTTACTTCATATGACTGCAGCTAATTTCCTTATATTTATTATTCGTGCATAGATTTTCGTCACTGGCAAAAAGGTCAAAATTCTAACAACTGTTGGCTGCGCCCAGGGCACTGAAGAGTTATTTGATCTGACCCAACTGAATAATAGTCTTGCGGGCAGTAAGTAAATTTATTATAAATACATTAACCGTAGAAAACCACCGCAAAGAGGGGTGTCATTTCCCCAAATTTGTATAAAGCTCAAAAGTGTACAATTTTGCCGGATTGCAATAAAGATCGTGAGTTTATCGTCGATCATCCATAACTGTAACTTATCGAATTTCCCTGGTTGTTTATGCACGTCGTTAACCATGTTTGGTGATAAGTCCACAGTGGGGGACGTTTTTGCACAAGTGGTTAGAACTGAATCCTCACAACTAATAAAATATGGATGTGACAACATCTTGTTCCGGTCTGTGACATTTTCCCGTGACATTGTCAGTTCTCGAAATTATTCTTGCACAACACACTATCGAGGTCACAGATGACTTCCGCCAATTTCGTGTTTAAGAATGATTTTCCACGTATCTCATGCAATGAAAACGAAGGCACTTTTCACGTTAACAAACACTGCACCGTAAGTCCAAAATTTTTGTCTTCTGTGATTGCTGCTTTGACATAACGACCCTACCTAACGCAAAAGTTTGGTAGTTAGCTTGTTTATATCTGTTTTGTGAACACAAAATAATCGTCTTCAGGAAGATTAAGCAACTAGTACTTGATTGCTGAGAGGATACAAATTAAAACAATTTAAAACGATAACAACAAAAAACGCACGCAGGAGTCGATGTATCTTTCGCAAAGCTGCCGCGAACGGATCGCGCAATCGATTCAAGTCAAAAGAACTAAACGCGTCTCTCGCTAGATGGCCAGTTGTGGAAGTCATCGCGATCGTGGCCAATCTACAAATATTAGATACCGAAAAAGGTGTTATGTGGATAATTTTTTGATATCCATCTAGATTACAGGGATGGGCACCACTTCAGTTCTCGCAACCATTTACACTTCTTTATAATCATGACCTGACATGATAAAGCAATGATTCCGCTTGTGGGACTTCCTCTCTTTTACACTATATTTACGTTCAGATAAGGGATCTTTCTTGGCTCCTATGGATAGCTCCTCGGTTCCATGAGCTATCCATAATTTTTCAAAAGTACACAATTTGATCGCGTGCTTCGACACAAGTTATTACCGGCCTAGTCTATCTGATCAAGACGTGCTTGTCACGCTAGAAATAGTGTTGTTGCCAAGATTTGAAAGCAATTTGCAACATGCACCTTCGTCAAGTTCGAACCTGGACTCCAGCTTACGATTTTATGATCAAAGTTCGAAATCGAACTGGGCATCTGTCAGTTTTTTATCTAGGAGGAAAGTTCAACAGAGACGACGAATTCAACATCGAGCAAGGAACAAGCTATGTAACCTGAACATGTCCGCAACTCACACGCCACTAAATTGCGTTGTTGGGTATTAATTGGAATTAGTCTATGAAAGCATCCAATTTCCCTGTTGTTGTGTAGTGATAAGATACTTCGATGAAAAAAAGCAAGTAAATAAACCGATAAATTGTCATAGAAATACACTATGGAGAGAAATAATCGAACGTGTTTGTTTCGAAATCAACGTCACGTCTAATCCATTTCGACGTGCTCTGATTGGTCGAAAGACAATGGTTATGCGTCATCCCATGTCATGCTGAGACAGGGACCTATCAGATGTCGATTTACATACAATTCTCTTACGTAGACCGGTAAACAACCGTAAATAGTCTAGTAGAAAGTCACGTTTCCTAAGCATAAAAGCGTAAAGAGAAGGGTAAGCTCTGCCTTTTAGCCTCTCAGCCACCGAGATCAAGATCAACTGTTTTCGAAATCCCTAGTTCGTTAGCCTGCTGGATGAAAGACGACTTTTGAAGCTGCCAAGTAAGTCTGATGCCAGATAAATTCTATGGCACAATTATTTCCGCGTTTCCTCCAAAAGAAAATGGGCCGAGTTATAAATGAATTCAAAGTAAGATCTAGCCTTAGGCAAAACATTTAAAGTTAATTTGCTTTATGTAACAAAAGACATTGGAACGTGATTTCCAAGGTGAAAATGGACTTTACATCATTTCGTGAATACCGGCTCACTCGCACAATGGCCGTAATATAATCGAATAGCACTGATTATTTTGAAAGGCCATTTCGCTATCGTTACTGAATTGCAGGTAATCATTCGCGTCATCCATGCTATCGATCCATTGAAACCAGTCAACCACAATGAAAAATCGGTCCTGATGGCTGAACCAAACGTCGACGAAGTTCTCTCTTCGGTTGTTAATCAGTTCACCGGACCGTAGATTTTGACTCTTTAAATAATCGAAATGAAAGCTCTCAAACAAAGTGCTATCCCCAGTATATGTAACCAAGAAAAAAAGCAAATTCAATCTAATGGACACGAACGGACACCCAAACATAGTGGCGGATGTAAACGTATATCCTGAGGTGTCCGTTCATAGATTTTTTTTCGTATTTTAAATGGAGTTTTGTTCTTATGTTATTATATGGTTCAATTTTGCACTGAACAGATGTCTTCGCCTCTGAAAACCAACGACTCCAATGGAGTGAAAGTGCGATCGTATCAAAGCGCTGATTATAGGGATTGTCGAGAAATATTCACTCAGGGAATGGAGCAGTTGATCAAGCTTGTGGCACAGGTGGTCTTCCCCAGATACTGCTGGGTTCTAGCAGCTTTAAGTGCCTTTGTTTTTCTCGCTGCTTTTAAATATTCCCTGTGGCTTGTTCCTCTTTACATCTTCACTTGCTTCGTTGTGCTGTCGCTTTTGTATGTGCATGTTTATCTGGAGTGTTGGAAATACATTAACTCCTGTTTGACAACAGATTTGAAGAAGATTGAAACGATTTACATGGCCAATGATGGTTGCCACATGTGGGTGGCTGAGTGGAATGGTAAAGTTGTGGGAATGGTTGGACTCGTTCATAATGAGAGCCACAAGCCAGGAGTTGCTGAACTTCAGAGGATGTCTGTATCACCAGCCTGTAGAAGAATGGGAATCGCTAGGAAATTGCTCGATGAGCTACTAAAATATGCAAAAGAACAAAATTTCGAGAAGGTTGTTTTGACTACCACAAGTGCCCAGACACCAGCCATTCGACTTTACAAGAAATACGGCTTCAAGCTCATAGCATTATTTCCTTATCCTCAAAAGCTTCTGGCAGATCTGCAGTATTCTTTCTTCGACCTCAAACTGAATTATTAGAAGTCTTAATTAACCCTTCAACTCTCAAGATCTACATATCAATTTCCTGCTTCTAGTCCAACTCTACCTCTGGGGTTAAATCGAACAATATTCACATGTTACGATTTTTCTTCAACCTAACCTCTCTCTGCTTCAAAATGTAACGAAGTCGTATGTGATGGAATGTAACCTGTTGAGGTACTGCTCAAACACGAAACCGGATTTTACATTTCAAAACAATTCTCCTGATCCACTTCCTCGAACGTTAAGAGAGGCTGTCGAGAGCGCGCTCAAAATCGATGATTTTTTTTTATTCAATCTCGAAACGATTTCATTTTGTATAATTTTCAATTGCAGGTTGTGTAGCCCTAGGTTGCTTGAATGTATACATGCCGACGGATGGCATGGGTGATCAAATTTGACAAAATAAAATAAGAAAAGTTGTTATAACTTCAAAACCCATTCATTTGCATTCTCGTGACTCACTTTCTCCCTAGTTCAAACAAAATTCTTTATTTAAAAATTATAATAAGAACTAAGCTTCTCAAACCCTGAAACAAAATAATCCTGGTTAGATTTTTACTGGAAGGAGTGTCACGTTAAGATTAAGTTACCGGCGACAGGAAACCCTCAAGGTCGAGTTATTAAAAGCGGCGATTTGAGGAAACGATTCGGCGTTATGGATATGGATATACAAATAGCAGTATTGTCATGCTTTTGAGCAGCACTAAATGACTAGACATACCCGGAAATGCTTAGAAACTAAGTCATTTCCTTGACCGTAAGTTCCTTAAAGTTTTCAATTATCTTGTTTCACCCGTACAACAATCGTGTTTAAATTGTTCTTAATAAGTCATTTCAATTGAAGCAAAACCTTCCGTTTAATCATAATTTAAATATCTCGATGACCTTATGTCTCCACATTATGAAGACGGATGCCACGGTGTTTGCGTGATGGATTTCGGTCCGGTTGCTACGGTTAAAATATCGCCCTAACCACTAACTTGTTTGTCGACAACACTGAATTCAGCTCTTCATTCGTGCGGTTTTGAAAGGCCCTATATTGCTTCAGCCCAATTTCAAAATTACCTATTTCGAGAGAATACTGCCTATGCCTCTCCAAAGAAACCGCGTTTTGCTTTGCTTTGATTTGTTTGTTTGTTTGTTTAATAAGAAGAAATTGAGTGCTCCCTATGGGTGCCCCCGGTGAGTACTCCCACCCCCTGCCTCATTCGAAAAAAATATTAAAAAAATGAAAATGAAGCGTCCACACAATAAAACTCTGCTCGCCTTTTGGCTTAAGACCTTAGCAACAGGTGCTAGAAAGCGAAAACAAAAACAAATATCCCGTGACACTGCTTTATGAGAGCATGGCTATATATATCTCTTTTGCTCGCTATAATAGGTCAATTATTAAATCCTCCGTGCGTATCTTGAAAACAAAACGTGTCTCAGTTTCTAGAGAAGAATGAATTTGATCACTACAAGTTAAAATGTGCACGACACTGACTATTTCAAATCGACAAACAAAGCCGAAGAGAAAGGAAAATTTTTTCTTTAATATAAAGGAAGTACGCCAGCCATAACGGATTTAGGAGGTGGACGCAGCCATGGATTACTCACGCGTCAACCGAGTCTCATTGAGAGGTGAATCCAGAGACCCCAGAACAATAACAGCACCTGAAATACTGCTGGAGTACAGCTTGGTTATTTTGTTGGTGGGATGTTCTTCACTGGCGTTCCTTTGGTTTAAGCCTCATGGGAACCCAATGGATTCTACATTATTTACTTCTGTTGGTATCAACTACACAGCATAAACTGCATCCACTGACAGAAAATCTACTAACAGGCGAAGAAAGAAAAGAAACCATGCAATCGCTATACAAAAACTGTGTATAGCGAAACATTTAAAATATATCACAAAACTGCGACATGGGAAAAAATGTTTTCCGCAAGATTTTTTAGCCGAAAGACACCTTAATTTACATTTCTGCCGTCACGTGCTTCACGTGGACAATAGGGACCTTAACAGTCAGGACGGCAACGCTGAAGGAGACGTCGAACAAAATCTGAATTTGTCTTTTTAGTTAAAAACGGCGCTACACCCTTACTTAAGCATAAGGTATGTAAGCAGTGTTGAGTTCAAAATGGAATCTTAGATAATTTGTCGCCAGGATTTCCGTTCTCAGACCACGAAAACTTTGGTGATTTCACGTCGTCTTGCAGAGGAAGACTAAGAAATGTACAAAGTTTTAAAACATACGTGCTGAGCTATTTTTCTTCTCATCAGATCTTTTGTTTTTCCACGTCCTTCTTGCGGTAGACGTCGAGGTTAGCTTAGGGTTCCCAGCAAGAGACATAATCCTAAATTGAATGACTGTATCTATATGACGGGATCCATCTTGTATTGATGGTCAAAAGAAAAACTTAGAGCCTTTGTACATACAGAAAAACATGGGATATTAAAGCTTTAAATAAGTTGTTTAAGGTTATTTAGGATCACAGATGTATTTCAAATGTACCGTGAGGTGTAATAAAGAGGAGAGAGTAAATGAAGAGTTTTTAATGACGAAGGCTGATTTCGATGAACTGCACGTTTCCCCCGAAGCTGAAAAACGACTGTAAGTTACCGTAAGAGGGTTGTTCACGCGTTTTATCTCTTCCACGAGACACAAATTTGGCACTGATTTATTCAAATACGCCATTAAAAGATGATAGCACGACCTTTGAAATGGTCAGATGTTCAAGGCAGAAGTTGTTTGTTGCACGTTCCGTAATGTAGTTGTTCACGTGTTCTCTCATGTGCCAGAGACGCCAGGTCATCAGGGTGGGTCTGTTTTCTTCAAAGACACCGCTACAAGTTAACATCACGACCTTTGAAATGATAAAATATTCAAGGCAGCAGTTGATTGCCCTGGCATTCCTTTTTTTGGTTGCGATTGAAAAAAAAAATTGAAAAAAAATTGAAAAAAAAAACTACTAGTGGTATGACTGCTTTGTCAATACAACCCAACAAAGTTCGACACAGCATTGTTACATAAGTCCTATGTCCAGCAATTTCAAGTGATTTAGAGATCTTCCCTGACGACGGGTCAAAAGAGATAAATTCTAGGAACTGGAAACCTAATAACCACAAGTGCGCTTAGGGCAAGAGGTTTTGAAACTAAAGTGTAAGAGTTCTGTGCAGGTTAAAGGTGCAAACTCTCATTACCGGTGACGATATATTACGAAATACTACAATAGTAGAACAAAAACCATTCACCAACACTATAAAACTGAGTGCACCAACACTACACAACTGAGTGCACTGTATTAGAAAAACATTTTATGCGTTCGCAATTAATGGATTACTCAAAGCCTTTAAACTATTTATTAGTTTGACTTAGACAAATTAAAAAAAAATGCTCCTTTCCAGGAACAAAAGGAACAAATTATTAGACGAGCCTTAAATATTATACAGTAAATTTTACAACTCCAGCTCAAAGTCATACAATCGAAGGTTTGTAGGAAGTAGCTGAGGAAACGGACGGACATTCACAAGTTGAAAGCCGTGCTTCTTATAGAACCGATGAGCATCTTTATGCGCACTGGTCGTATCCAAGAAAATTCTATCATAATGGTGAATTCTTGCGTAGTGCACTGCCCTCTTGAGCAGTTTCGTTGCAACACCCTTCCCCCTGTATTCAGAAGAAACATACATTCTTTTTAACTCGGCAATCTTGAGTTTATAGCTCTCCTTTTCAAAAAGTCCAATCATACCAACAATTTTGTCACGCCACACAGCCACCCAAAAGTGACTACCGCTTTGGATCATGTAAGAGTTCTTGATGTTTTTTACATCTTCCTCGAAGGATCTATTTATGAATTTCCAGCCTTGGTTGAAGGCATTAAGGTAAAATATTAACATAGTAATGAGAACAATTCCAAGATATATGCAGATAGTGTAAAAGGACCATGAAAAAGCCAGGGAGAGGAGTGTGAAGACACTCTCGACCCCAACGTATGCGCAATATCTTGGCAAATCCATCCGCAAAGCGTCTTTTATCCATGTCTCACAGCATTTCGTGAAGATTTCTTGGCAGATTTGCTGGTCGAAACTCTGAAAAGAGCGTATATTAACATCGTCTATAACTGATTGATCTCCAATTTGGTTTTCTCCGGGTCTAATCCTAAGATGACAAATTAAATTTATTTGCAAAGGTAGGCTTAGTATATTAAAGAACCAAATGCAAATGCAAGAAGTGCTCTACCAGGGAGTTGATCACTATGTTGGTTCCGAAAAAACCCGTGAAGTAATTCATCACTTCACGGGATATCCCGTACAACCCTAAATTTTTTCAGGCCTTATTTTCTCTACTGCTCAAGTAGTGTACATTACTACGAAGATCGCTTTCAGTTAATTTTAAGTTATCACTTTTTCGGCTTTTGTCTCAATTAAAATTCAAACCGATTTTAGCCACCATTAAAAGGCGAACAGTAGTTACAAGGGAAATTTTATTTGTAAGGATGAAGCAAAATCCTCGTCACATGAAATAATCAAATATCTATTGAGAATTATGAAAAAAACGCAATGAGAAAATGGCAAGTTGTGAGGTATATAAACTGCTTGGGTCAGCGTTATGGAATTTCCATGATAACTTACTCCTCAGCTCAGCAACTATAAATCTGTAGTTTTTAGCACCACAACAACTAAAGTCAGCGATCCCATTTTCAAATTGAATTTAACTGATTAAACATCTGTTTACGACCAAAAATTGCATAAATTAACGTCAAAGGTCACACACTTCATAGGGAGTGACCACGAATCTTTAACTGAGTACAAAATTTTTTTGTTGCCAAACATAGTGATAAAATAGGTCTATCCTTTAATGGTATGTTTGTCGACAAAAAATATTGCCCATCGGAGATATTTGCAATTAAAAAACCTTAATTTTTTTGTTTCGAATAGTTGCGTGACACAGTAAATACGGCTCTAAATTAACAGAAGTTAAATTACCCCAACTTTCGAGTTAATTTGACAAAATAAGATTAAAATCCTTCTCGTTCTGTAAGGGTGAGAGAGATTCGTTAGAAGTGCATTTCCTGGCTGATTAATTCTTGAATTACTTAGTGACTTTCATAAATCAATTGATGAGAATTGATTAAGCATATTACGTTATCGAACGTAAATGAAGTCTCCCTACATCTGATACTGTAATTTGCTCCTTTTTTCGGAATTTAAAGTGAAGGGATCCAGGGTCTAACTGAGAATTGCTCCACCCTAGCGAAAACAGATTTGATAACAAGCTAAAAGTCCGTGGTTTCAAGCAAAATTTGCATATAATAACGCCGTCCAATATCGATGTAGAGCAATGATAGTATTATGATATTTTTTTGCCAGTGCCTTACTTTAGTAACTTCGAGGGAAAAAAAATTTCGTATGCTTAATCTTTGAAGGTGCATGTCACATTTATTACGCAATT